CATCACCCTTGTACTGAAAACCAGCACACATTAACGATTCCCAATTTGCATTAATTGGGCAATAGTTGTGTCGAAATTTGAAAATGCCACTGCATTTACTAAGCTTGACATGGACGTTCAATCTGCAAGACAAAATATTGGATTGGGGGGGGCACCAGTAAACAACTGTATGGCTCAATAATGAATTTAAAATTTACAGTCCAAATTTTTGCTTTATGAATAGGCTTTTGGTCGATCGATACAAGGCCATGAATATTGTGAACAGCCCAGGCAGCGATATCAGCAATACCGCACAGGTTTCAACAGAAAACCACACGCCAATTTCAGATGGATCTATCAAGAGGAAGAAGAAACTACCCAAAGAAGCCCCATCTCCTCAGTCTAGATGGCAACCTAGAAAGGCTTCACACGATGGGTTAAAGTTTTCCTCCTTTGCGGGGATTGAAAAAATTATTGGCGAAATCAAAAGCAACATTGAGCGCCCCCTGAAGCATCCAGAGCTTTATGAAAGGCTTGGAATAGAAGCTCCAAAGTATGCTTTTTACCGCTAAACTTTTTAGAGGACTTTTGATTTTCGGGCCAACCGGAAGTGGAAAAACAAGCTTGGCCCATGCGATTGCGTCCGAATTTGACATTCCTTTTATTGACGTCACTTCGACAGAAGTCATGTCCGGAGTAAGCGGGGAATCCGAGGCCAATCTTAGAGCCATTTTTGATTCTGCCTTGGTATGGATTACTTTTCTTGATGCTTGTTTAGAAACATGCACCTTCAATCATATTCTTTGATGAGATCGACCTCATTTGTGGTAGACGGGAATCGACTCAAAGGGATATGGATAGACGCATTGTGAGCCAGCTGATGGCTTCACTAGATTCCATAAAGCCAGGCCAGGTTGTTGTTCTTGGAGCAACATCGCGTCCAGAGCACATTGAGCCGGCTCTAAGAAGAGCCGGTCGTTTCGACAGAGAAATCAATATTGGGCTCCCTGATGAGGCCTCGAAGAGAAAAATTCTTGCCCTGATGACCGCCAAAAGTCCACTCTCCCGGGATGTTGACTTGGCGCTATTGGCAAGGAATATCCCCGGTTTTGCGCCAGCAGACATAAAAGCTCTTTTGAGAGAGGCGGGGCACAGGGCCATTGACCGGTTCCATCAATCGGGGCAGCCAGATTCGATGTTGCACATCACCGCTGCCGACATACAGACTGCACTTGCTACAGTTCAGCCTGCTGCAAAAAGAGAGGGGTTCGCCATTGCCCCAGAGACCACTTGGGACTCCATCGGGGCTCTTAAAAGCGTAAGGGATCAATTGAGGATGGCTGTGGTGGAGCCGTTGCGGAATCCAGATCTTTTTGCACGCATTGGAATAACGACACCTTCCGGCGTGTTGCTATGGGGGCCTCCTGGATGTGGAAAAACACTCCTTGCCAAAGCAGTGGCTAATGAGACCCATTCCAACTTCATATCTGTGAAAGGGCCCGAGCTTCTCAACAAATATGTGGGCGAGAGTGAACGGGCGGTACGGACCGTTTTTGAGCGCGCAAAGATCTCAGCGCCCTGTATTATTTTTTTTGATGAGCTCGAATCGCTGTGTGCCCACCGATCGGATCCGAGCGAAAACCATGCGGCCAGAGTGGTCAACCAGTTTTTGACGGAGCTTGATGGCCTTGAAAGTAGGAGAAATGTATACATCATCGGAGCCACCAACAGACCAGGTTTGCATTAATGGGCCTTTTCATTTTGTAGACATGATTGATGCCGCAATGTTGCGGCCAGGGCGACTTGATAAGCATATTTATGTTCAACTGCCAACGTCGGAAGAGAGATCTGAGATTCTTGTCAAGCTTACTGCGAAAACGCCAGTGGCGGATGATGTTGATTTGAAGGCCATCGCGCACTCAGCGGAAGGATACAGCGGGGCTGATCTTTCTAATCTGGTCAGAATTGCCTCCGAACTTGCAATCCAGCCGTTCCTTTCCCTCTCAGAGCCGGGCTCTGGAAACCTCTTTGTTAGCAGGGAACATTTTGACTCGGCCCTGTCAACGGTAAGACCTTCCGTATCTGAGCGTGAACATCTCGAGTACGATTTGCTCTCTCGGAACTTCCGGGTTGGCACTAAGCCTGGAAATAATTAAATTATTATCGGCATAATTGACGGCGAGAGTGGTAATTGAACGATGTAGTTTTTTATTGCTTTCATCAGAGATGAATCCAACCGATCCTGTCATTGTGGAAAGTATAGAATATTTTCTCGGTCCAAATGCGGCGAATTCTCTTATCACGGCAGCAAGCGGCCCCGAAACAGGGCTTTAGCCTTGGAAATTTGTTTTCTCCATTTTTCTTTCGGCAATTTGTTTGCTCCATTTGCCTTTTGAGCAGGTTTTTACCCAATCTGTACATGCATGATATGGAGAGATATTTTGCATGAAATATTTCAAACAATCTGGCACCAAGAAATGCGACGTTTCCAATATAATACTTGATGATAATTTTACGCATTGCGTTTGACCTGCGGATTGTGGGACATCTTACCGCCATTTTTGTCTTCAATTGCCAAATTTTCGGATGTCCTTTTGGGATGTCCTTTTTGGGATGCCTTTTTTTCAGGACACTTGTCGAATTTCTACCAATTGAAAATATTTCCAGCCATCACCATCAAGGGGCCGTAATTGCGAACATCCAAATAATTTACATCTTTAATTTGTGCAGTTTATAAAAAATTGGCGCATCTTGCACCAATCACGAACTGCCACCTTGCCTTTGAAACATTGAAGGAAAATTCTAGAAACATCTTTATCGCATATAACAAGGCTTTTTTGCATTCTTCATCATGGGTTCAATTCGGTCCTTTCTTCTGTTCTTTCTTGTTTGCGGCTCTTTTTTCGTTTCGGTTTCCCACTCCCGATCCATCGGTATCGACTTGGGTACCACATACTCTTGCGTGGGTATCCGACGCAATCAAAATGTTGAAATCATCACCAACGAGCTTGGCAATCGCATCACTCCCTCGTATGTTTCCTTTACAGAGGATGGAACGCGCCTTGTCGGTGATGCCGCCAAGCTCAACCAGGCTTTGGCACCTCTTTCTACCATCTACTCGGCAAAACGATTTATCGGGCAGTATTATAACGATGCCAATGTTCAATTAGAACTTCAATATGCCATTTATGAGGTGGAAAATGTTGGCAACAAGCCGATGTTTAAGGTTCCCATTGGAGCGAATCACATTGAAAGCTTCACTCCTGAACAGATTTCGGCCATGATCCTTTCCAAGCTGAAGGCTATGGCGGAGACTTATCTTGGCGAGACCGTCACCTCGGCCGTCATTACGGTGCCTGCATATTTCACAGATAGTCAGCGTCAAGCAACTAAAGATGCAGGAGTCATTGCCGGCTTGAAGGTCGATCGCATCATTAATGAGCCCACGGCTGCCGCCATTGCCTATGGACTCGATCGCAAATCAAAGGAGATGACTGTTTTAGTTTTTGATCTCGGAGGCGGTACTTTCGACGTGTCTTTGCTCACCATTGATGAGGGTGTTTTTGAGGTTCTCGCCATTGCTGGTGATCCACATCTTGGAGGTGAAGACTTTGACAACAATCTGCTCAAGCATTTTCTCAAGATTGCTTCTCAGCGCTTCAAAGCCGACTTTACAGACAACATGGTTATCGTTTCAAAACTCAAGCGCGAAGTGGAGAAGGTCAAGAAAATTTTATCCTACGAAGAATCGGCTACCCTTACAATTGAAAACTTTTACAAGGGAGAAGACTTTAGTGAGAAAATCACCCGTGCTCGCTTTGAAGATCTAAATCGCGATCTCTTCATGAAGACTTTAAAGCCGGTTGCCCAAGTTTTGGAAGACGCAAAGGTATCCAAAAGCAATGTTGATGAGGTTGTGTTGGTCGGTGGCTCAACTCGAATTCCTTTTGTACAAAAGATTCTGCAAGACTTTTTCAACGGAAAGAAACTCAACAAAGACATCAATCCGGACGAAGCTATTGCGTATGGTGCTGCCGTCCAAGCCGCAATTATTTCGGGAGAAGACAAGTCTAGTGATATCGTTTTGCTTGACGTTTGCCCTCTTTCTCTTGGCATTGAAACGACCGGTGGTGTTATGACTACGCTGATAAAAAGAAACACAGCCATCCCCAGCAAGCGTACGCAGATCTTTTCCACTGCTGCGGATAACCAGTCTACTGTAGAAATCAAAGTCTACGAGGGCGAGCGTACTCTTACTCGAGACAATAATCTTCTCGGTAAATTTTCGCTTTCTGGGATTCCCCCGGCTCCGCGTGGCGTTCCTCAAATCGAGGTCGTTTTTGATATCGATGTCAATGGTGTCCTTCGTGTAAATGCCTATGACCTTGCATCTGCAAACAAAGACAAGTCGTCCGGAATTACAATTACCAACGACAAGGGTCGTCTCAGTCCAGAAGACATCGAGCGTATGGTTGCCGAGGCCGATTGGTGAGCACGATGATTTATAAACGGCTTGTGATCAATAAATATTTTATTGTCCCAGTTAGCGAAATGGCCCGGCTTACCCGTTGACACCGCGATGCGCTCACTAAGTGTGCCGGGGTTTGGTTTATTCTACTTGGTGCCAATATTTTTGATAGTTTATTTGTACTATTGTTTGGATTTCATTTCTTCAAACCAGTCTCATAAAGTTTACAGTACAATTCGCTCATTTTTTTGGAGAGTTTTATACCAAAAACTATTTTAACACCAAAATAGAGACAAATCATAAAAATTACCCATTCTGGTCGCAAGCCCAGAACCCCAGTGAAAATTCCCCCTAGCTGTAACGTTACTATGGCCAACGTAACGTGTGGTGTTTCTTTCTTCATGGCATCTGGAAATGGAAGATAATCCATCAAAATTCTATTCAATGAATACGAAATAAGCAGTGGGATATATGCGATGGCTGAAATACTAAAATCAAGAGTAGAAATAAGCAAAGAACCCATTTAAAAAAATAACTTGCATCTTGAACAATTAGCCAATAGCCGTTCGATGTAAATTAACAAGGTTGATTGGCGTAAATATCGATTTACTTTCAGGCCAATAGGGGCATCTAGGTGCTAATATTTGTATATTAGGACTGTGGACAATTGGCAACTTTAAAAGTTTATTGTTCAGAGGCTTCTCCATTGCTCCAGTATAACAAATAATCAATCTGAAACGGTCCATTGTTGCCATTGCGGTTTAATTCTCCGAAGTGGACCATTCATACGGATCTCTGTACACTCGGAAATACAACAGACAACCATTTTAATGTCCATCCTGAAGCTATCGTGACAACTAGGAAACTACTACTCGAGAGAAAATATCATTTAAAATAACGCCTTGGGGCTGGCATAATACAGCCAGCAAACATGCAGGTATAAAATATGAAAATGTATCGAGCTTCATTTATCATAATAGAGCAAAACATACAAGGCCCCCAAAGCAGGTAGCAATGCATCAAATGGGGTACAGTGCGATAGATGATCCGAGCGCGAATCTAATAATTTGCACCCAGGAAAAAAAAGATGCAAAAGGCATTAGAGCTTCAAAGAGCAAAAATAAGAGGATTCTATCACCAAGTTGCATGCAAAAAGCAGGGGAGCGGTTCATACAAAAGCCAGAAAAATAAAATGAAATCGGCAAACGTGTAGCAGATCGATGGCACGGCTAAAGTCATTGTAGAGACGCAAAAGGCGCGGCCGGACCGTAATTAATCTAAATCGATCCACAATGGGCCTGGCACTTTGGTTGGTGCATATGTTTATTTGCTTTTTTGGGCCAACTGAGATGCATCGAGGCCAATCATATTTAAAAGAAGGTTAACGTTCCTAATTGGTTCAGGAGATCCTGAATTAGCGGCACTTAGAATTGGATCTCTCAGCACATTTACAAGAGTATGGCAATTAGCGGACGAAATATGAGCTGAAAGTAGGGCCAGAAATTGCCAAGCATAAAACAAGTCATCTTCGGTTTGTGGAAAAGGGGACGACGATGGAGATAGCATCGCGGGGAAAGATATACACAGCGAGTTGAAAAGAGATTCGGCTACTTGATTCCAAGTGTCTTCGAAGGCATGAAAATTGGCCCCACCAGCCTGAAGCGAATGCTCAACTTGAGAAAAAATGATACATAATACCATGTATGGAATCTAAGCGGATTAAAAAGGGACCTCACCTTAGAGTGTGAAATTATCTGAGAAAGACCCGGTTGAATTGCAATTTTTTTACAAAGTTCAAACATTTCGGGCACAGAAAGCTGCGTTAAGAAAGATACAAATGGGGTAAGAATGGATTCCACCACAGCAGCATTGTCATCCTTTATGTAATTCTCGTGTTGCAAATGAGACGTTGACATCGAAGACAAAAATAGACATAAATTACACAGTATTGTCTGGAATATCGAGAAAAGGCTAGAGGAACATTCCACTGATGTTGGCGACGACAACGCAGAAATGATGAGCGGAATCGAGCGTTTTCCTTTTGGAGTTTGGACCAGAGAAAGTAAAGAATGCGGATCTGCAATGAGTGCTAACAAATCCTTCTCGCCAGCAGATTTATTCAAAGCTTGATATACCTTTTCGGCCATCGAAAGCGAAACCATTTTGGAAAAAGAATTGTTTTCAACTAGCTTTGGAGGAGAAGAAACCGGCATCGAGTCGATTGAAATAGATTGCTTTGGTCGACGGAGGGAATTTAAAGATATTTTCCCGAGTGCGCCATCTACAACCTTTTCACCCCGACTTGCCAGCTTTGGCACGTGGGGAAGGATTGATTTGAGATGTACTTCATTTGAGATGGTGGGTTCTCTGAACGTTCTGCGTCCAAAACGCGTTGTGGCAGTGGAGGGAAAAAGAAGGTTTCCAGCTACTTTTGGGAGCTCTTTTTTGTCTGCGCTTTTTTTGGGCGCATATTGAGCGAAATAAAAATCATCACCGGTGTAGTCTCTTGGATACTCGATCCTTCCCTCTTTATCGAGGAAAAGATTGGGATTTTCGGCCAAGAAATGATCCCTGCTGCTATTTACATTGCAGGGTGATTTACAAAGCGCAGAAATGACGGGCGTCATTGAAATTCTCCAAATATGTCGTACTTCACGATCAGTCATCAACCAATAGGGCTTATCAGATGTCGGCAATTCCAAGCCATTGTGCAAATTCTTTCGGCCTAAAAGGTCATTTAAACATTCGTTTATGATGCCCGTAGAGATCGAATCAGAACTGATGTCGGGAGGAGTACAGGGCTCTTTAAAAGAGGTGTCTTTTTTTGAAAGGAGGCTTTTCATATGATCAGACAATTCCAATATCGAGGCTGATTGCATATTTTCATTATTAGGCCCACTATTAGGCGGAAATCCAGGCGGTGGCGATGCAAATTTCGAATGCGAATGGTATTTGATCTTTGCAGGCTCAGCAGAATGAAACGAAATTGGAGCCAATCCAGGTGGCGTCGACAGTGTAGATTTTGGATGGAATAACTGATCCCCTCTGAATGAAATGCAAGATACATCAGAAATATCTTCTACATTGGGGCTACGAAGTTGCTCGTCAGATTGCATGCTGGAAAAGAGACTATCCAACTTGGAGTGTTTCTTTGACATTTTGAAATTTAAAAATCCTAAAAATAAATCTGGCATAAAAATTCCGCATCGGGGAATCGAACCCCGGCCGCCTCGGTGAAAGCGAGAAATCCTAGCCACTAGACCAATGCGGATACTGACAAGCTAGTAACATTTATTATAATTAAATATATTTATACATCTTTCCATTCCATTATTGAAATCTAGGAATTGCAGACCTTTCTGGAAGAGACAATATGAATGCATTTGAACTATCCAACAACTATCTGAGCGACTCTTCTAGCGCTGTTCTAAATCAATCTTTTCATCCAAGATTCAAAACGGGAAGGCTTGTTTTATTTTTCCTGATGCCATTCCTTGCACGTCAATTCGGACTCTTCATTGTGAAGCGATCTCTAACATCATTGAGGTTAATATAATATAGAATAAATGCTATGAATGTTTATTTCTTTGTTTTTTTAGCCCTTTTGACAACACTTCTGGCAGGTGGAAGCTTGTTATGAATCTTTTTTCTTTCTCGCACATTTGCTTTGTATACGGAGTTTAGCTCGGGCGGTATAAAATTGAAGGCAGCACCAAGTTCCCTTGAAATATGGAAAAGATGCCCATCAGGCTCTAAAGAAGACTCCAAGGTAGAAAGGCAGGCTTGTTCTTCATTCGATACTGGATAGTTTTTTGATCTATCAATATCGGTAAAAGAGGTCTTTGCTGTTGAAGGAAGAAGATCTTTCAGCTTTGATGATGGAGAATTGGGATTTTGGGCGTGTTTAATAGGAACAATAGAAGCATATTTCGTCCGTAATGGATATAAAAGCTCATTTTGGTTTAAAGGAAAGTAAGACAAGTAGTCCAGAGCGTATGTCTTTCCAGATAAATATTTTATCCCATCACGGGTAGCATCTCTCTTATTAAGATTAATGTTCTTTAGAGGATTTTTCCTCCAAAGTATAGAGGGATCTTCATCAAAGATTTCACATGCCTTCAGAGCAATGCTTTGATATATAGATTGTAACCTCTCAATGGGGTATTTAAGTCTTACTGAAACCGTAGCAGAAGCACTAGGAAACATGCGTAAGATTAATTAGGTTGGAGTTATGTTTTCATTGTTATATTATTTTTAAAATATCTCTAGTAATTTGTGCTAAGGATCCCTTGGCGCAACGGTAGCGCGTTCGACTCCAGATCGAACGGTTGGGAGTTCAAATCTCTCAGGGGTCAATTTTTTAAATCATTTTATCGCACAAAATGATCTAATTAGATTAAAAGTCCAAATAAACATGGTCAAGTCGTTACGTGTTTATTTTTCATGAGGCCATCCTCGGTTGAACGTTCTTCTTATTTCTCAGATATTATGTGAATCATGGTTAGTTTAGCGTTTATTTACTGTATATAAAAATTGGCTTCTTAAGATCTGAAAAGACCTAACCAGTGTTGGAAGAACTTTGAGCTACATTGATGTTCCTGAAAACATAGAATATAATTCTACAAGATGTGAATGCAAGGTTGAGATACAACCAGCATAAATATGACAATTGGTATAATAAGGGGATCGCAAGAGCGTTCTTTTTAATCAAGTAAAGAATAAAGAATGCAGTGAGGGGGAGCAGGATATTACTAAATTGCCACCAAACGGAGACGAATCCCCATAATGAAAACGTTGATAGCAGGATAAATATAGAGATGATAAAATCCACAAAAAGGAACACATTGTTATTTCCAACGATTTCAAATAGACCGTTCAGCCCCAAAATTGAGAATATCTCCGCGAGAATAGATGGACGAGATTTCTTCCCTTCGATACCGGAAAATAAACCTGCCAGTGAAGACCCAAACCCTTTTGACTGAACAATCGGTGCAGAAAAATGAGCAGCCTCTTCACTAGCTGGAGGTTTATTTCCGGCGGCGATGGAAGACGTGCCGGCATCGCTTTTAAATAATGACGAAAAAGAGTTCGAAACCGAAGCTTCTTCCTCATTATTCTGGCCAAAAAAATCTTCCCAAAAAGTAGACTTATGTTTCTGCTGACCAAAAAACCAGCTATAAATATCGGAACCAACAAGATCTTCCAATAATGTAGGCGGATTTTTGTGTCTATAAAGAAACCCCCCGTTACAAAGGGGACTCAAATTTATAAAAAGGAGTAGGAAAAGTGAAAAAGCCAACAAGTTGAACTTCATTAAAAATTGAAAATTTTAATGAATTCTATTAATATGCGGTGTCATTGGCCAACTGTATGTGAAAACCAGAATTAAGTCTTAAAATAAAATTTATTATTAATTTTTCACAACAGTAATGGAGGACCCTGAATCGTCTTCTAAAGCTGAAATGGCCCCTCCTTCGCCTTTAACATTTGTGCTTTTATCTCAAGAAACGATTCTAGAGGTTGATTTCAAATCAGGAGGGATTCACGGAGCTACATCGATGAAAATTGGAATATCATCCAAAGAAATAATTCCACTACTTAACTTTCATGTTGGATTTCTTGGTACCATCCATTTACGTGATTAATTTTGTTTTAGAAATCCGGCATATTATGCTAAACGGAGTAACTATGACACAGTTTATTGATGAGCGGCCAAACTACTTGAGCCAAGCTCAACGAATAAAGAAATTGGCGGTCTCGGGGGCCAAATTAAATTCAGAATCATCAGCGTCATCGAACGCGTCAAGTTGGAAATGCCCTGACATCCTTAAAGATTTTTTCCACGGAGGAATAACCTCAAAGAATACGAGCAAGGCCAGTCGGCCTGGACCGCCTCTATTTGGCAGTCTTTATTTGCATCTGACTCCAGAGATCCTGTCTGCGCTCCCTAGCGATTTGAACACGATATGTGTGGAGATTCATTTTTCATTGTCTTGTAATCGGAGCAATGGCAAGATGCCTTTTTATCCCATCGACAAAGAGATTCCAATTTTTGGCCATAGGGGCGCATTTTTTTATTTGAATGATGACAGTGTCCAAACAGGAAATGATGTCAATGAATGCCAGGAACGTAAGGGAGATGGAAGTGGTTCTGACCTTTACTTTATTGCTGGTCCGTGTACAAATGCCGGATATTTAGGGGCAACTGTTCCGTCTTCTCAGGTTTTCATGCCCATAATGGGTCTTCACTTGGATACTGCCAATCCATCAACATCATACATTGCAGCTCCAAGAACAGTTATGCAATGGAAGTTGTCCATTGTAATAAAAGAAGAATGGATTTCATCTATCGGAGATAAATTTACTGTAATATCCTCGGCAATGTCACTTCCAAGCCAGGTAAATGAGCAAACCTTTACTCTTTAATAGATCGCCGAAGGGAAGAGAATTTTTCCATTTGCCGATACCAACAATACGATTATCCCATGGGCAATTTGTGTTGTGATTGGGTCTTTTTATTGCCACGAAGTACCACTTTCATTGCCTCCTTCTTCTTCTTGCTCTACTTCTATGGCCACCAATTCGAGTTTAAATTCCAACATCTGCGTACCTTCGGGCGCTGATTTCTCCGAAATAGAAGGCCCTCATATAGTGGGTTTTGCACCTTCCTTTTCAGATGCTTCAAAACAAATCGCACATACGCTGGAACATGTCGAAAAAGCTGTGGAGTTTTATCAATGGATGCTGCAGGTTGCATATCCATGGTCCTCTTTCAAGATCGTTTTTAGCGGCGGTTTGGTACGGCCATTTTATGCGCTTTCTGGCGGTGTCCTCCTTTTAGAGTACGGATTTGATTTGTTTCACACGCCTTAGCCAATCTCTGTTGGTGGGACCAGATTTGATTGATGAAATTTACCATTCAAGGGAAAAAATCTTCCTTGGAATTGCCTTGTTGTTTGGAGCGATTGTGCTGAGTCCGGAGCACCCTTCTGACTTGTGGGTGAGCCTTGGAATTTCATCCTTCCTTACGGACCTGTGGCTTCGCCGGCTTCATGGAGAAAATTGGGGCCGAATGCGTCTTCGTACGCAAATGGAGCTTTTGTGTGCGACGGAAGTGGATTCGCCTCCTCTTAGCATTTCGGGGCCACTAGACGACATTTCGGATGTTCTTTTTGGGCCTGGAGGATCTCAAACTTCTTCCTTAAAAGATGACGAAGAAAGAGCAGCTGTAGCTGCCAATCCGCCTCCAAGCCTTGAAGGGATTCTTGCGGAAGAATCATTTTTTGACTTTTACTTGCTAAAGTCTGGTCTCATCTTTAAAGCAATTGAAGGAAAAATCGGGCCATATGCAATGGCGAAAACACTTTCCACGCTTCCGTCGTTTATCAACTCATTGAATAGAGAGCAAAGTAAGGCGGAACAAGATGCACTTCCTTCCACCGGTGCTAGCAACCCTGCCTTTGCTTTTAGTTCTCCAGCAGCGACAGGAGATACCGGGATGGTCATATTGATCACTTCTGGACATTTTTTTAGACTTGTGAGAAAAGTAAGCGGCAAGGATTTGCGTCCATTTGCAGACCAGTGGATATATGCCCCTGGACATGCCAATCTCCATGCTTCCTTTGGGTTGAACAGAAAAAAATGTTGTCTGGAAATAAGAATCTCCCAAAACTGCACACATCCCGATCGTGGGGGAAGATTTTGTGGCCCACTCAAGATTCGCGTTCAGGAGTCAGACCAATATTATGATCATGTGGTTCATATTGAGGATGCAAGCCATTTTTTTGAGCTTCCTTATCATTCTAAATACAAAAAGTCAACAGCTGGCGGATCGCTTTCGATTTCTGGCGGCGGCGGCGGTACCGGCGGCGGCGGCGGCAATGCCTCCTCATCAGCCCCCATCCATCTTCATCCCATAGAAGAGAGCTCGAGCACCACCATGGGTATTGACCAGCTTATTGCCGATGAGTCTCCTGTGCAATGGGTGCGACTTGATCCGGAAATGGAATGGATGCGAAAAGTCAGCGTGGAGCAGCCCGAATTTATGTGGATCGAGCAGCTGGAAAACGACAGGGATGTTATTTCGCAAGCCGAGGTATGCTTCCATGATTTATTTCTCCCTTAAGGCAATAAGTGCCCTCGCTTTGATGCCATCTGAGACTGTTTTCTCGGTGCTTGAAAAGATCTCATCAAATTGGAAAAACTACCATGAGATCCGCTCTCTGGCTTTGGCTGCTCTTGCATCCATCTCTTCAACCCTTCCGCACATGCGTAATGAGGTTATTGCATATTTGCTGGGAACCTTCGAGGCAAAATATGGTATCCCTCGCAAGTCTATAGGCGAGCCTATCTTGCCAAGGCCCAATTCATTTGATTCGTTCCCTGCTTACTTTATTCAAAATACCATTTTACGGCTTATTGGAAAGATCAAGGATGATCACGGCAAGACGCCTCCAGAGCTCATCAAGTTCCTTCTCCAAATGCTTAGATTCAATGACAACTCACAGAATATGGTAGGTTTCTTTGTCTGTTTTGACGCCAACATAGCCTTTCGTGGTGATTTTTCAATGTCCATATATTACCCCCTTCCTTTCCCTTGCCTTTCCTATTTTTCGACTTTCTAATGACAACGATGGCCATTAATGCTATAATTTATTAGTATTCGGATGGCGCATACCTGGCCACCCTGATAACAAGCCTAATAGATGCGCTGATCCCAGCATCAATGGAGCCATATTGCCGCCCAGATCCCATTATTCTGAGGGAATCGTTTGAAGAATTAGAGAGGTACCGTTTCTTGGATCTAATTCGCCCATCACATGAAAATGTGATCTCGGTCTCCCTATTGAGAGTATGTGTGGTGTCCATTCGTATTCAATAGGGCCTGATTAGACTTCAGCTTGCCGGACTTGTTCCTCTTGACGAACGCCTATTTTCAGATGTCGTTGTTCCTGGAAATTCAGCAGATGTCCGCATAGCTGCTCTTGAAGGTCTTTTATTTTTAAGACATGGCGACGAGGCGTTTTTGCTGGATTTGCTGGCCGATGTGTCCAGCGAAAAGATGATTGATTGCTTTGCATATGCAGATGCACTGTGCTTCCAAAAAGAGGTTTTCAAAACCATTAGAGAAATGATGCCAATTTCGTCCCACCTTTCCTCAAACTTGCAATCTAGTCAGCTTCGAGAGTATCTGGAAAAGGCCCTGGTTGGAGCCCTCATAAGCAGGGATTTGCATATATTTGATGCAATCATTTCCATGTGTCAGGTTGCCTTTGCTCATCCATTGGAAAATATAGAGGAAAGCCTTGTCAAGCTGGAGGAGGAACAGGGGGAGGAAGCGAGAGAAGGACAGGGGCAGGTACAGGGACAGGGGCAGGGGCAGGTACAGGGACAGGTACAGGGACAGGGGCAGGGGCAGGTACAGGGACAGGGGTAGATGTTTGTTTTGTTCCCCCAACCTAAAATATAAATTGTATTTTAATTTTAATTTTACCAACCATGGAAAGCGAAACTGGCGATCTTTACCTTCGTTTCTAGTATCACCGCTCTGCATTGATAATTTTTAGCTCGGGGCACAAGGGAATGTATGGGCATGAGTTTATTGAGTTTGAGGTCCGCTCTGACGGAAAGCTACGATATGCCAACAACTCCAATTACAAGAAAGATACCATGATACGAAAAGAACGTACGAGATGCCATTTTTAATTTTCCCTTCCACAGTATTTGTATCGCCATCCGTGCTGTCTGAGATGAAAAAGATTATTCTAGAGTCCGGCATATTGAAGCTGGATGACGCCACCTGGCCCCTTCCCGATAAATCGGGGCTCCAAGAGCTGGAGATCTTGGTGAACGGCCAGTCTGAACACATTTCTTTTTCCACAAGCAAGCTCAACTCGCTTGCACAAGTGCAGGAGAGCAAAGATCCAGAGGGACTAAAGATCTTTTATTATCTTGTCCAGGATCTAAAGAATCTCGTTTTTGACTTGACTTCGCTCCATTTTAAGGTAGGAAACAGTAAATACAACCACGGCAATCCGGATCGTGACACCGGCTTTATCTTTTATTTTTTAATTTCTTGAACTTGCTCATTGAAGTAGATCAAGCCGATCTAAGCGCGGCACTTGTTTTTTCGGAGTACGGAACGAACTCCTCTTTCAATACAACTAGTTGTTAATGGGAATAAATAGTAAACCGGTGGTCCCTTTTTGGAATAAATAGGTCCCGATTCTTGTAGGCTTTGGATTGGGCTTTTTGTAACCCCTCAAAACCTTTGTAGATGAAAAGGCTGGCCCACCCTCGGTTCGCTCAATGACCACAAGATCAACATTGGATCCAGAGCCAAGGTCGTTGAAAATGCCTGCCTGGATCGCTTCGGACACCAGCTCCATGGCTTCGGCTTGCTAGTGGAATAGAAGTTTACAAACTACCTCCATCTTTGGACGATACTTGCCCTCAAATACCGACATTGCCGCAAGTGAGCCTGAGCCCATGGTAACAAACGGGAGGTTATCGGTAGACCCGTGCGGATAGACCGTATAAAGATGGCATCCAGCGATGTCTACGCCGCCCACAATAAGCGCAGCCCCAATGTGCCCCTGATAACTAGCGATAAAAGACGGTAAGCAAGTGATAAAAAGTCGAAAAATCAATGGCTTTGCAGAATGGAGGTTGGATGTACTTGAAAAGGCGTTGCTTCAGCATCATCATGGCAGAGCTGAGCCTGGCCGGACGGCCAGAGTTGAGAGAGGCCAGTTCTAACGATGAGCGGACCATTGCCGTCACAGCCTCGGTGTCCGCGGCAGTTCCAGCCCCGCAGCAGTAGATGTGCGGTGCAAGGTAATGGATTTTTTCGCAATTCTTATTTGCAACAATCGGACCAAATGTGGAGCGAGTATCTGCTCCGAGAACGATGCCGTTCTAAATTGCATGGCATTCATCAAGTACCTTGTACACTACGCCCACAATTGTTGTGCCGGTGGAAACTGCCTTTGAAGAGGAGCAAAGAGCAAGATTCCTGCACATAAATTGTAAGCAAACTGCATACCTTTGGTAATTGTCAAAACAAAATCCCAATTGATGGTCTGAATCGGTGGCGGCCTCTTGATGCATGTTTGCAGGTTGGAAATTGAAAACGTAATTGCAAAATTTAATTTTATGCCGATTGAACTGAATGACTTTGTGGGAAGTATGATGGCGTTGGCTTGTAATTTTTATTCTCTTAGAGTGTGTAAATATTATCACAAACGATGGAAAAGTGATCGTGGTAGGCGTGTTTGTCAATATCTAGGGTTATATGCATGCATTTGATGCATCCACAAATGTGGCCATCACTCATGCGCATGAAAGGATTTTCTCCCTAAAAAAAGGCGTTGTGGTATCCCAGCTGGGGCTTTTTTTGATCCGAGGGGACAACATGTACCATTATTAGTAGTTCTTATTGCTCACAAATAGAGCCATCATCGGCATATTGGACGAAGAATTGGATGCCGAAATCGAATATACGGAGCTGAAGGCTCCTCCGCTACCTCCAATCCAGCACTAGGTTTAAAATTAAAATTTAAAATACATTTTGCATTCATATAAGCGGATCCAATCCATTTCTTCCCATATTTAACATTTAATTATCCTTTTTAATCCATCATGAAAGTAAGTCGAATCGCCTTTCCCGTGTGTTGTATTTCGGCCCATATTTTTGTACACGTGTATGACCAACTATCCATCGGTCTTTGTTATTTCATTACTCTTGGTTGTCTGTTTTCCCGTTATTATCAGTTTCTTACCAGTAGCTAAATATCGCCTATCCGACTACTGGCTGCCAAAAGATGATTGAAATTCAGGACGAGCGCAAGGTCCGTCACTTTTATGACAAGCGCATCTCACAAGAGGTCGAGGGTGACGCACTCGGTGACGAGTTCAAGGGATACATCTTCAAAATCACAGGAGGAAACGACCGCGATGGCTTCCCCATGAAACAAGGAGTGCTTGTAAACCACCGTGTCCGTCTACTCCTCTCTGCAGGCCATTCATGCTACCGTGCTCGCCGCGCCGGTGAGCGTAAGCGAAAATCTGTTCGCGGATGCATCGTTGGATCCGACCTTTCCGTCATCTCTGTTGTTGTCGTAAAGAAAGGTGAGGGTGAAATTCCCGGCCTGACCGACTCCACAGTGCCTCGTCGCCTTGGTCCAAAGCGTGCCTCCAAAATCAGGAAGCTCTTCAACCTCTCAAAGGAAGATGATGTGCGCAAGTATGTCATTCGCCGCGAGATCGCGCCAAAGAAAGAGGGCCAAAAGGTGCGTTCCAAGGCACCAAAAATCCAGCGCCTCGTTACGCCAGTGACACTGCAACGCAAGCGCTCTCGTCTTGCACAGAAGCAACGAAAGCTTGTGGCCTCCAGAGAAGCTGCTCAAGAATACTCTCAACTCTTAGCTCAGCGTCAAAAGACTGCCCCCAAGCGCCAGCACTAATTGCAATAAACTAATACAATCCGAGAATCGATGTATTTATTTGCGCAGCCAGGCCTTACATAGTGGAGTAGTGGGCTTTGGGATTTGTAAAGTGCTATGCAACCTCGCCCTAATTCTGATTTTGTGCCTGTGTTATTTTTCGTCAAAAATGATGTATCGCTACGACATGTGACACCGCGTTAATTAGATTTTTCAATTGATTTGTTCTTTTAAATTATGGGGACGTTAAGTACAGAATGAAGTACCAACTTCTGCATAAGATCATAGATAGCCTCTTTGGGCACGACAGAATCCTTGGCATAGGAGCGATGGCCCATAATGAACTCCCGGATAGCGCGTGCAGGTGTCGGAATACGCCCTGCAGCCCTTTCACCAATGAAGGTCAGATATCGTTCGATGGCATTGCGGTCATATCCGGTGGGCTCATGGTCACCAATTTCACGCTTAATAGAACTGTGGCCGAGAATGCCACTACCAGAGGGGCCATTTTGCAGGCTACAATTGTGATCAGCCTCAGCTTTCTCTAAACGGGAAAGCTCTGCCCTAGCGATCCTCAATAGCCCATCTGGGCCATTGATGATCTCATCAATGGTAAGTTGTTCGATGGTGCCGCCTGGTCGCTTCCAGTAGAAGCTCTCCAGGCGCACAGCGTCTCTTTTCTGGGCGCACGCGATATTCTGATCGAGAAGTGAAATCGGAATCAGTTCTATGAGTGGATTTTCGCCCATAATAATGGCACGAGAAACTAGTTGGATCAGAATAAGGAACGCGGCGGACTCAAAATCGGTAAGCTGGGCCTCCATTGGCCTGAACTCTACACGCCATGTGGGAATGTCTAGAGAAGCCGAAGGCAGTTTCAGGCGGACGGTGTTCCAGTTGGTCGACTGAATCGACTCGAAAAGCCTCTCATCGTTATCGCCAGGATAAAGCACCAATGGATCTCTCACAAAAAGAAAGCCAAAATGGCGTGCAAGAGCGGTCTCCATATTCCCTGCTCGAAGCAATGTATCATACATGCGGAGATTGATGGGAAGTGGCAAATCGTTGAGATGAGAGCTTGGAGTAGAAAGGAAGGTGCTGATTGAGGCGTATCGGCTCTTCTGACTCTGACGTTCTTCGGGCGTCCTGTCATCGACAGAGTTTGAAATGATATCCCATCGTGCGTCAATGTCCAGCAAATAAGAAGCTATGGCTGGGGTGGATGCTGTCAATGCGATCATGATTGGTGCTATTATTGCGAGTCTATCATAAAGAAACATTGCCTTCTGTAACGAGGGGCACTGGAGTGTCGACTGAAGACAGCAGAGCCCCATGCCGAATCCCATTGCATCGAGGTGGATCATTCCCTCTGTCTCTGTGCCATTTTTTTCAATGTTTTGATGAAAAGGCCACGGAGTTTTAGTGTCTCTAAACACAGGGAGCGGGATATCAACCAGAATGCCCCCGCGTCTTTCCATGATATTCCGTGTCAGGGTTGAAAAGCGCGGATGCACAGAAATAGATGCATCTGGCAAGAAGGCTGAATTGGCTATCGGGCCATTGACAGGGCAGTTTCCGCTTCCGTTATTCCAAAGAAAATCCGGCGATCCAAGTGCTGGAAATGCAGCTAACGAGAGCAAGTACTCATTTGCATGCAGACGACTGGTAGCCTCAATACGTCGCGCTCTGATGTCCTGTTCGCAAATGCGTGCTAGGGCCCACATGGTGTATGGGTATGGCTTTTCTGGAGTTGCCTCCAACATCCAGCGTGCATACTCAGGATGCCATTGGGAAGGCTTTGCCTCCATCAGCTCATGAAGCGTATCATGCGCTCTCGCGCTTAGTTTGGCGCCCTTTGTTTCTTTATCAATATGGACGACTTGGTATTCGATCTAAATTCAGAAAAGCAAAATTGATACCTCATCACCCCAAAGCGGCCCATCACCCTCTCTATTTTTTTCTTTCTGGTACATTTCGAGAATGTGTGCTGTTGCGCGTGCATGTGCTTGATCGCGCAATTTTCGAGTCTCTGGCCAGGAAAGGGGATTTCCATTTAGCAAGAGTCCCATTAAAAAGGCTGGAATTAAAAAATCAAATAAAAGCCAATTGAAATCCGTTTGACTAATTGGCTTTAGATTCTCAACTATTAAAAAAAATTAGTAATGCAGAATTGGCAATTATATTGAAATTAAAAACGAGCAATGGTCAAGCAGGGATTTCCATATTATCAGTTTTAATCGCTTAAATCGGGGAGAATTTTCAAACACAATCAGACATGTAATGCCATCCTTTTACGGAAAAGCTAACTTTAAAATTAAATCGTTTCTTGCAACGTGTGCAACTACTGTGGGCTCAAATAAAACATAAAATACACCGCTATCTACAGCAATCCGTTTAAACAGCGATGAATGGCGACGCCGGGCCTATAGTTTCTTTGTTGCAGTGTTGGTAACAATTTATTGCAAATAACGGCAGGGGGTTTTATTGCAAGGGTTTGAGGTCGGGGTTAGGGTTGGGATTGCTTGAATCTAATTTGTGCTTTTAATGACAAATACATTGATCGTGCGAATCGTGAGTCGCTCAAAGTTTGTGCCTTACAGAATTACAAAAAGCGACATTAAAATTTTTCGTTTTTTGAAACATCACTCGAATTATTTGTTTGGCTTGCACATTTTAACAAAATGTTTTCACATCCCCAAGAGTCCTCTGAGGATCATGAAAAATCGTCTGGATGGTCCTCTGCCCGACAGCGTCTTTCACGTCTGTTTGGGCTACGTCGCAGAAATAAGCGATTAACGGCAACCTCGAAAAACAAATTTGCTGTTTCACATGAAGACGTACCTAGCAACAAGCGCTTACCTTGTTCTCAAAGGGAAATAAGCCAGTTCAACATGAATGAATCCTCTTCTGAGCATGTTCTCAATGATTCAAGCCAAAGCGAAGCCGATACTAGCCATCGAAATCAACACAGAAACGACGGCCGTTATCGCCGCCATGGCCACAGCCGTAGCCAACGCCATAGTCAACGCCATAACCATTCTCTGAGTTCTTCAGATAGCTCTTCGGAATCTGGCTCTGAGAGGAAAGGGAGAGGCAGACATCATGATTCGCGTAGGCTGAAGCACTCGCATTTCAACTCATCGCCCCCGTCGCCATCCACGGATGATGAAGCAGATGATCGCACGATTCTTAACAAAAGAGATATTGTTTCGTGGAAAAAATGGTTTCTTTCTCGTCCTGGGCATTCAAGGCTTCTATTGAAAATTCCGGATCACTTTCTTGCCGATGAATTCAACTTTTTAGATTTGATCACCGGAAAGCCACACGTCCGCAGGCTCCTTTCGCGGATTATTGGATCGACTTATGCCGAGGCGGACGAAATTTCCTCAGAAGAATGCGGTTCTGATAGCGCATCCGAGGCAGAGGAGGATGCCAAAATGCAGGCTGAAGATGCAAAGACAAAATCCGAATTTCTAGCGACCCCAGTGATAAGAGATGCAATTCAGCTTTACATCCTGCTACATGCCCGTTATATTCAAACGCGAGAAGGTCTTCTCCGAATGGCCAAGAGATACTCTCGAGGCGATTTTGGCGTATGCCCGCGCTTCAACTGCTCCATGGAGCGGCTGCTTCCTGTCGGGCTTTCTGATCTAACTGGAGAGGCCCGTGCGCAGCGATATTGTCCCTCTTGTAACGACATTTATCATTGGTCCTCTGAGATCTATTGGAATATCGACGGGGCAGCTTTTGGGACCACATTCCCCCATTTCTTCTTTCTATCGTTTCCGTCATTTGTGCGTGGAGAGCTTATGGAGGGAGATGCAGAGCTGATAGACGGGTGCAAAGATTTACAAAAGCCAAAGATGGCATGCACCCTTCCTCCTCTCTTTCTATATGAGCCCAAAATATTTGGCTTCAAGCTGCTCCCTGTGCACAAACGAGAGTTTGTTTCTCACGATGGAAACTCCTTTCACGTAGCGGAACCAAAATACCATCTTAACATTCCCATTTTGAATTGCGATCGTGGTATAGGAGTGGGGCAGGAGCTTCGTTCCATTGCAAATTACCACCGCTGCTTTGTAGATACAAATTAAATAAGTTATTCATGAAATTTTGTATCAAGAATACGAATGTAGGCAGGGTTGAATCCATTGGCCAGGGGGAGGGTCTTTCAATCTCCAACTGGGGACGTTCCTTGATACGTATAAGGTGTCAATCACATGCAGATGAGTACGACGTCCCCTTATTTCCAGATCGTTTTTGTCATCAGTACCGTGTTGCAAATATTGGAGACATTGGTTGCACGGGCCTCTCGGCTTGTGATGAACCTCAATGTACTGGGTGATGTATCTGAGACGCTGTTTGTGATCTAGCTCGCTTTTGGAGAAGCTTTCTCTTTTATTTTGATTTCCACTGGGTAAACTGGCCTTTCAACAGAGACCGCCATATTAGGCTTGAAAAGGCGATTTCCTCAACTGTGTGAAAGTAGCTTCAAGAAGCACGGGAAACCCCGTTTTCAACTCCACGAGCTCCGTACCATTGGCATGTGTGATCAGGGCTTTCCCATGACGCTACAAACTGCTACGTAAATGTGCTTGATTCCACCGCAAATCATTAAATCAATCTTTAAAAGATTTAAAAACACAAGCAAACCAATCAACCAAGGGACAATCGGTTGATGGCAAACCCTAACCCTCGCCATTGTTTAAAATTTCCTGACGGCCGCAATAGCCGTTAGGGTTGGTTTTTTGATGAGCATAATGGTGAATGGCGGATAGCCCCGATTTGGCGGTTACGAGCATGTAGCGTGCTCGAACCGAGTAGACCGCTTGCCGTACAGACACAAAATACAAGGTGTCAATTAAACACAACTGCGATGTTGGTTCATGGCGACCCGAGGAGCAAGTTAGCCCTAAATTTAATCTTCAATTTTTTGATGCATTGCCCTCGTCCGCGGTTTGACTTTAATAAGGTGCCAAAGATTACCTGGTTCCCTGGACACATGCACGCAGCCATCAAAAAGATGCGGGAGAACATGTCAAGCAAGGTAGATATTGTCATCGAGGTTAGAGACTCTCGAGTACCAATCAGCTGCATCAATCCACTCTTTGAAGAGCTATTTGAAACCAAAAGGCGCATCATTGTCTATAACAAGAGGGATTTGGCTGGGGCAAGCCCGTTTTTGGATGCGGTAAAAACCTCGCAAAAGAGTGTCATTGGCATCGCCAGCATCAGTGCCAAGGAGGATAATCCACATAAGCAGGCAAGGTCTGCCGATGCCGTCCTTGATATTATAAGAGCGAGATACCCACCGACCCAGGTTCTACCTAGCACTTTTAGGCTTCGAGGGCTTGTGGTGGGAATGCCAAATGTAGGAAAATCAACGCTGATTAACTCACTTCGAAACGTGGGTATCGGGAAGCGTATGCTGCTTTGACTTTACGCTTTAGATGTCAAGGCAACCAAGGTGGGGAAATTGCCGGGGTTTACGCGCAGCATTTCAGGCGAGATCAAGGTGCTTGAACACCCAAGCTTCTATATTATGGATAGCCCCGGGCTTATGCTGCCTCGAATTATCCACCCAGAAATGGCGCTCAAAATGTCCCTGACCGGTACTTGCTTTTCGTAATTGCAATAGCCATGGTTAAGGAGTCCATTTTGGGGGAGATTTTGATTGCGGACTATTTGCTTTTCAGATTGAATTTGTTGCCCCCCGACGGCGAGGATCGGCCCTTTTATGTCAAATATTTCAGGATGGATGCCCCCACAGAAGATGTTGGCATTTTTTTGGAAGCCGTGGCTACGAGATTGGGATTGGTTAAAAAAGGAGGCACCCTCGATATCCATCTTGCCGCCGTTAGATTGATCCGAATGTACAATGAGGGCTTTTTTGGATCGTTTTCCCTCGACTAGGAGCGGTGAGCGAGAAAGCATGTCCTGCCTATTTCCAAAAGCAATCAATGCTGGCATGTCAAAACGCGCCCAAACATGCAACAGTCTGTGTTCCGCGATTTTATTACAGCTTATTGAGGCTTGGAAGTATGTATTATTTGCCACTGCTCGGCATGCAAAATACAAATGTTTTTGCTTTTTTCTCTTTCAAATTGTCGTCCCTGCTGGTGTCGGTCGGAAACATAGTTCCTTCACCAAGTTTCTTTGAATGATAAGCACTGTAATTTCCGATCGTATTTACATGTGAATATCCGGGGTAGAGGTGTCTATCAAATGCAAAAGAAAAGGCACAACAAAGGCCCTTTTCTTTTGCGATTTCCTTGACATTCCAGCTGTCATATGGATGGCTCTCCTTCAATGTTAGCAGGATAAGAAATTCTTCCTCCATTTCTAGATCCTCTTCCAAAGGCGGATATGTGTGCAGCATTCTTCCAACGGCAATCCCCATTTTGATTAGCTGGGCTGGATTTGGATGAGAAAGCGCTTTTGATGCTTGAACGGTAGCCGTAAAAAAAGAGGAGATGAACTTTTGATGCATCAGAATATTCCTATTCTGGTCTTTGATGGAGCTTCCCAGATGGGGAAAGTTAAATACCAATCGGGTGGGTTTGTATTTTCTGAATAAACTAGCAAGTGTTTTTGTATTTGTTCCATCTATCCCGTAAAGTACAATGACTTTTTCAATATTTTACAACACCGAAAGGTTCTCCTCTGCCTCGGGATATTTTTCCATCAATGACGCTCGATTCTCTTCAAAAGTCGTAGCCACAAGCCTAAATGGGCTATTCTTTCGTATAGCGAAAAGATCTTTCTCCATCGCTAAATATGAGCTGGGCTTGTCACTATATTTATATGGAGGCTTCCTTTTAATTTGACCTTCTTGACCTTCTTGACCTTCTTGACCTTCTTGACCTTCTTGACCTTCTTGACCTTCTTGACCTTCTTGACCTTCTTGACCTTCTTGACCTTCTTGA